GCTTTGGTTTTGTGACCTCTTACCTGTCTCTTGCAGATCTACATAACGTGTATTGTGAAGGCCACTCTTGCTTCTGCACCCAGTGATGCTCTCCGCAAATCCTGTTCCTTTTCCAACGGGTATGTTCATGCTACTTAAGAACATGTTGAAGGTGCCGTGTCTGATTTTTCTTGTTGCAGGTGGCTTGCTGCTGATGGGAACCACCAGGCTTGTGGTTGCTGTGACTCAACTTGTGGAAATGCTGCTCCTTTTGGGGGTAGGTAGCTACTTTTAAGATTGCTTTTGACACTTCAAGTGCTCTACTTAACTTGGGTATTTGCTTACTAGGCATTCAGTGGGAAGGCAAGGCCTCACTCGGTCCTGTAATGGTTCAAGAGCGACAGAAGTCTGTAGCTGGTTTTCAGTAAATGGGAAAACTTGTAGCTGGTTTTCAGTAAATGGGAAAACTTGTAGCTGGTTTTCAGTAAATGGGAAAACTTGTAGCTGGTTTTCAGTAAATGGGAAAACTTGTAGCTGGTTTTCAGTAAATGGGAAAACTTGTAGCTGGTTTTCAATAAATGGAGAAATGTATTGTTTCGTGTGTTGTGTAGTTTAACCCATCGGATTTGAATGTGTTGTAATTTTTTTTTTTTTTTTTTTTGTCCTCAGGGTAATTAACTTTTATTTTTAAAGACAGACCTGTGAATATTGGCTGTGTTCGAAATGGCTTTACTGCCCAGTACAGTATTATTATTATTATTATTATTATTATTATTATTTAAGAATAGGGTGTGGAAACTATACAATAAGCAACAAATGTTTCAGAGTAGTATGCTTAAGTGTTATGTCAAACACTGAATATTAATTCAGCACAGCTGTCAATGTTGTTGGCTATTTGTTGCACAAATGTGCTAACCATTCTTTTTACAAAGGCTTGTTAAGGCTTCATAGTAGTAAACAATCCTATATTTCCCAATTGAACATTTCATAACTGATCTTTACATATTGGACAGAACTCAACACTGAGCTGTCTTTAATTGAATTTTTTTTTGTAGTTACATTAAAGGCACTAAAGGTTTTTTATTATACTCTAAAAAAATGCTGGGTTAAATATAACCCAGTGCTGGGTTAAAAAGGGAGAAACCCAGCTATTGGTTTTGACCCAGCGGTTGGGTTCAAAACGTATATTAAACCCCGGTGCTGGGGTTATATTTAAACCCAGTATTTTTAGTGTAAAATATCCAAAAACCACTAGAACAGTGTTATATATTTTGTGGACTTGATCCCAACTGTTTTGAATGTTTAAATCCAGAGAAATAAGCCATTTTAACTAGTGACACGGACTGTCCATAGTTTCATTGTGTCGCCTGCCAATGATGTCATAACCCCTTGATTTCCAGTTTTGTAGAAAACATGGAAACACCAAAGACGCTTTGTTTTAATAAACTGGTGACAACTGCACAGTAGCATTATAACAACTTTCAAATGTATCTAGTATGATAAAATGCTCCCCACATACGTACGACTGGAAGGAGCGGAAGCGGTCGACTGGCATAATAAAAGCTCTGCTGC